GCTCACCGTAAGCAAAAACTCAATTATCATATTTTATACCTCATAATACTTACGAAAAGATATTCAATTATATAATTTTTCCTCTGAAAAGGGAATCCCTTTTCATTTCTCATTTGGATTTTTCTCTTAAGCAATTACCAGGCAGCCCGGGGGAGCGAGAGATTGGCTCCGCGAATACATTTGCACGCCGCGCGCCGGACGCGCCCGTTCTAATTTATCTTTTAACAAGGAATGGAATGTTATGTTAACTTATGCGCAGACCGCGTTAGCTCTGTTTTCGTTTAATAAAAGTGTGTTTCGCGGATGATTTTATGAGTTTCGGTGAGTTATGAATTTGTTTGTGCACGGAATAGAAATGAGCTCATTTCGTGCTCCCCGGCCGACGTGGTGTGTGGAAATTATTTATCTATTATTTATGCCACAGCTTTGCCTACTCACAAACAATAAAATGATTTCGTTCCCAAGATATTCGCTCCGATTGCCACAGGTCTGTCAAACTCGTCCAAACATAATTTGCAATGGAAGGACATTATGTTTGTAACAAACGAAGTTCTCGCTCGGCAAGTCCGCTCAAGCGGCTCGGCACAATTCGATTCCGACAAGCGGCGGATCGGATTCGGGCGAAACTCTGGTAATCGTATCGCGCGGCCGGGAACACAAATTATTCGTGCGCCGAAACTGGCTAACTTCGTCAACCCTATAAAGGAGGTAAAGAACAAAGCGGAACCACAATTGGCCGTGGATCCTCTACCTGAGTCGATGGAAGTTTTAAAAATGGCGGCTCTTTGAGAGCAAACTCGATAAGGGCACGCCCGCGGGACGCGTAAATACAATTTGCAAGGAATCGCTCGTGCCTTTGACGTGAGTCGCGAGTTGTGAGAGCAGTGAGCGCCCTCTGTGTGATACGTGGATCTGTCGACGACTATAAGTGAAAAATCTAATATAGCTCCGATGAATATTTAGCGAGCTCTGCAAACTACGCTAATGCGATATCAAATCAATTTGTTTATTTAGTTTGAGAAGTCTGGCGCAAGGGACATGTTGAATGACTGCTTATTTTCAAATACAATATTTTTAAGAACTTTAATTTATCATAGCGTATAGTAGATGAAATGGAAGATGATGATGGAAGGATGTATGTCGAGAATGTGTAAGATTTTGTGAGAAAATGGACAGCTGATGAATTAGTTTTAAGTAATTATAATTATTGTACTTTTCATATAAGATACCTATTACATAAGTGTAAGTAGTAAACAAGTAATTTTTATTGTTGAACTGTATAATGCTTTCGCTTGTGCTGTAAAATTATGCATGTGCTTATAAAATAAATAAATTAATAAAGAGTGTTCATGGTGATAATTGTCTTAAGATGAATATTAAAAAGATATATAAATGGAACCAAATCATGTTTAATATGACAAACTTATGCCAAAAATAATACTAAGTTTTCTATTCGCACTCACAAGAATAAAAGCCAAACATCACAATAATGAGGGTAGTTTTAAATTAGTTAGTCGGCGCCATAATTCATTAGTATCGACTACGACTTCAAACGGACATGACGTGGCTCTATTTGATTGATGATGCGAACTTAATATTGTTATTTGATTGAGATAATTAATGCGTTCTTTAATCATAAGTAAGTTAATGAATGTAACATACGTATTATTACAATAAGACGGCAATTTCTGAAGTAGTCAGCCGAGGCCTATTGTCATCTATGTTTATATTTTAAGTAAAACTACTTATTTAAATGGTAACTTAGTTGAATAAGTGGATAAATGACCAAACATACCTAACACCAAACTATGTTACATTCCTGACGTCTGGACAAATTATTATTATAATTTTTTTATGTGTCAAGTTGGCAAACGAGCAATCGTCGCCGCCCATGGAAACCTGGAACACCAGAGGCGTTACAAGTGCCTCATCGGCCTTTTGGGAAATACAAATTTGAGGATTCTTGGGGATTCAGGAATTGGGGCACCTTCGGTAACCTCACTCACACGACGAAACACAATTCAAGCGTCGTTTCACGTCGGATTTCTATGAGGCCGTGGTATCTACTATGGGTGTTTTTATTGATAACAAGCAAAACTTTGGTATAATCTCGAAATTGTCAAACTGTGCTTTTAAAAGTAGCTGTAAGTACCTACATAGAAACTGCTGTACTCTCCTAAGAATTCAATACATTTTAGGTACATAATCAAATAGGTAAACACGACCTTTACCAACCCTTCAACTCAATACCTAAACTCGAACCGTAGGTATTCGCGTTACCATAGCAACCCTGTACACACCTCCGAAAACCATTTTGGGCAAAAATGCACCCTTACACGTAAAAAATAAAATATGTTTTTCTTTGAAAAGTGAGAGGTGAAAAGAGTTTTATAGGATAAACGTAGTTAGGTTCTCGTATTGGTGTCGTGTCGTGTTAGTATCGTTACGGCAACAAGCCGGACGGACTCGGGTGGAATTTAGCGTTGTACCAATATTGGTTTAGGGAGTTATCTGTGAATTGGTACCTTTTAACTGTTTGTAGTTAATCTTAGAGTTGAACACTGAGATGGGTAGCACCTAGTTGTACAAAATTAACTAAAAAGTAAGAATATGCCGAGGACGAACCCCTCTGTGGTTCGAAACTAATAGAGCTTTTCTCAGTATATTCACGTGAGAAACCGCGATTTTTCGTTAATTTAGTATGTCTCACGATAGTTATTATAAAAACCTAGTTGTACTGTCAGTACTGCTACTTGTAATTTGGTATTGGAATTTGTATTGGTATATTAATAAATTTATATAAATAAATGTATTTTTTTAATACGGCAAATACCTTATTTTCTACAACGAATCAAAACTGCTGCAACGTTTTGCAAGTTTGAATGTCATTCGGAACAATTTTTAAGAGAAGATAGAGAGTGAAAGAGATAAGAGATAGTCTGTATTATGTCTGAGAGTTATCAATGCTTGTAAATGCTTTCAGGACAACTGGAAATAATCGTAGAATAGGGAAACTTACAAACAATACTGACGATAAAAAGCAGAGACATTTAAGTACCTACGACAAAGGTTAAAAAAAAATCATATTTAATTACCCTTGTACAATTTTACCCGCATACGGTCAGTAGAGGGTTAGAAGTGCTCAATCTCAACCCGTCGGCGATCAGTGGGCAATTTGATTTATTTTTTATGACCACTCGAGTCTATGACTCTGTGTGACTGTATGCAGGCGTGTCTAATGTGCTGTAAAGGGTTAATGCTTCATTGAATTGTACAATTATTGCGTGTTTATGGTTAAATATTTTGGGTTACAATATTTTAATGTATATGATAGGTAAACGAAGCGTTTATGTGGTTACAATTGTTGTAAAGAAGTCGACTCTTACTTTCACAGTTTTTATGTGCATAGTTTGGTATTTTATAATCGTTGAAAAATACAATACTTTTTCTACTTAGGTTTTCCGTTAAAAGTACATTATTTTGACCAAATTACGGAGACTAAGCGTGTTTATTTACATAGTCAAGTTGAAACTTCTTGCCTAAAATATAAATATCTGTTACATAAACTAACAAACAGAAATAACAACAAACATATTTTTGACATTCATTAGCCATATAAAGGCGACTTCACGCTGTCGTGCGGATTGCTGCGGCACGCGCGACCTATCGCAAAATATTGTCAATTGCCCGCAGCGCTCAGCGGGTGGCCAGCTCATTGCGCTTTGTTGAGTACCAGTGGATAGTGTGAAAAATATTATTATAAAAAATAGAAAAACATTGATACTACGCTAAACCACGATGTTTAGAAGCTAATATCATATTGTAAAAATAGTGTTTTACATAGTTTTCAATACAAAATAAACTTCGTTTGGTTGTTAAACGTTAAAAGTGTTAAAGAAACAAAATAATACACTTGCCTTGACCTTATAATAAAATTCCAGATTTCAGATTAATCTATTAAGATAACATTAAATGAGTCATTAAACGTAATTTAGTCTTTGCAACAAAATCAAGATCCAATTACGGTACATTTAGCATCAATACACCACTTAGGCACACGCTTGAGTCGCGTGGCGTACGTACGTTTTGTTTATCCACCAGATTCGACTTAATTTAGCGTTAAGTGATCGCCTATCGCGTCTGTAGGGCGACCCTCGGCTTTCCGCTTTTTTAATCGCGTCGCGACGGGTCGCCGCGATTTATTACGGACAGTGTGAATGTGTCCTATTGTCCGAACGATTTTTGTTACTTGATTGAGATCGGTTCCGCTATTAAAGAGCTGTTTGCGTGACATTTTTATTTTTATAGTTTCGTTTTGGGCGTCGCTTGGGTGCGTTGATTTATAAACGATGTTGTGATAAATATCTGTTAATAGTTTTTTAAAATACTTCTTTAGTGCGATGATACATTTTGATTGACCGTCGATAGATGCGTATTTTTCTCGTATTTTATTTTGTAATTATTCTTAGTCTCTTAACAAGTATTATAGTTAATCCAGCGTTAGGCATGTATACGCTCAATTCAATGCTGAGATGAAGGTCCTTTAGGCATTTTTTTAAGGGGGGAAAATTATCGAATGTCTGCTCCCGCCTGGGTGAGGCGGGAGGGAGTGTCGGACTCTTACTGACTAAAAACCACCCCGTTCCTTCTCCTGCACATCGAACCGGACCCCGGTTACCTCCGCGACGTCCTTTAGGCATAGGCACGCGCAATCAAATGTTATTCATATCATGGTTTTGGTAATATTTAATTTCTATTTTATTATTGTTTCGTCCCTATTTTGTTATACTTTATTGTTTCTTTACACTTTTAAGTTTATTATTGTTTTTTATTTACCTTTGTATCTGTGTGCGTACTAAACTACTACCTACTGTCAAATTAGTATATTTTTTCTCTTATATAGGTTGTGTTTCTTTAATCATTTAGTGAATTCATAGTGCATAAGCTCTAAAGATACTAGATACTAATGAATCAAAATAAATATTATAAGTATTACGAACCGGATATCGAATAGAGACGCGAAGCATTGGAGAGGAGTCTGCCCATCGTTGGGCGAATGTCTGCTGATAAAGAAAAAGAAAATTACAGATTTTCTTACAAATTGTTATTATTTATTTAACTGATGAATGTGTTCAATGAACGATTATAATCTAAGGATAAGTTTTACTAAATAGGTATTAAATGAATAAGGGCCACCCAAAACGCTTGAATTCAAAATTGGTGCAAAACGCCTCGTTTGTTAATATCCTATTTTTCAATAGAAAAAAGAAAAAGCATTAAATACACTACTGATGGTTTTTAATTAAGTATAACATAAAACAAAAGACATATGCCCGAATACTAAAATGTTACTCAATTTTAAGTCGCGCTTAAGTATAGTTCTATCTCTACTAATTCTTTGTAAAATGACAGAGATGGCACGATATTTAAGCACGACTTAAAATTGAGTAATGTTTCAGTATTCCGACAATAGGTACTTAAAAATAACAAAACCTTTGCACTGTCAAAGTCTGAAACAGTGAATGCACGCGAACGGTTGAGTTGAGTCAACGCAGAACAATAGATCGGCTCAGTGTTCATACTGTTCATTAATGGTATTAATTAATGTTTAATTGAGCTAAATAGAGTATCAATTTAGTGGACGGCAATTGGATCATGCATCCCGGCACACTGCTCGACTATCTAGGTACTTGGTTAAATGGATGTATGTAGTTCGGTCGGTGTTTGAGACTCTGTGGTAGTTTTTATTATCTGTGGACGTTAGCTATCAAATGTTTTTAACGTTATTTTTGAATGTATGTTTATGTTATTTTCTTATTTTATTCATAAATTTTTATCTTACTTTACGCTAACAAGACACATTCACTGTGTTTTTATAATAACTATCGTGAGACAGACAGAACCACTGACATCACCGTGACCGCAAACGCTGCTCATGAGGAAGAACCCCCCTTGTAGTTCAAAACTATTAGAGCTTTTCTCAGTACCTATGTTCAAGTGAGTAACCCACGATTTTTATTTAACACATTCATTGTGTGTAACATAATAAAACATATCTTTTAGAGTTATTAAACAAAAATAAGCCTCACATATTTACACGGAAAAAATCTTCTTCCATTTTAATAGATAAGAATTTTACTGAGGAGATATTATTACCTACTAATCATAGACTAAAAATATTTTTAACAGCTATAGCAAAAACTCATAAATCAAAGAAATATACTACATATCTTCATACTCTGTAGTAGTCACAATATATGATGACTATGTTGTGTGTATACAAAGGCTCGACTAGCGTTGATTGTCGCACAAAACTAATCGTGTGTCTGTTTAAGTCAATTCCAGTAATTAACGTGGTAATTAACAATGAGACGCACTCTGCTCTATCATGTTACGGTTCCTTGTAGTGTGGAGTAAGATGGTGAGTATCTTATAATTGTCGTATTATGGTTCACAACGTAATGGTCTTTTGCCATTAGTTGCAATATTAAACTTTTGACTGCCGGCAGAAAATTGCTGAAGACAAATCCTCCGCTAACGTAGGTCACCGGTGACCTACGCGGCGGTTAACGTGTTAACTAAAAAAATTTAAAATCAAGGTTTACTCCCGTCAAAATACTAAGAAATATTCTACTTACTAGTTTAGTAGTATTAGTAGGCTGCGCGATATCGCCGCGACCTCGCACGCTGCTCATGAGGAAGAACCCCTCTGTGGTTCGAAACTAGTAGAGCTTTTCTCAGTATTATCTCGTGAGTAATCAGCGATTTTTAGTTAATTTAGTATGTCTCTCTATAGTTATGATAAAAACATTAGGCGCTATCTAAAACATAGTAATGCTACTGAGAATATCAAAATAGGGAAATTAAATAATGTTTTGATCGACAATCGCTTTTGTTTGACACCAATGCACCAGTCAGTATCGAAATACTTACTTACTTATTTACTTAACTAAGTAAAACGTAAAACACATAGAAACGCAGTCGATAAATAATAATTTTTATCAATTTTTTATTATCTAATCTATTCAATAATTCAAAATTATTTTAAACCCTGTCAAACATCAAACTCATGCCAATCAGTATCAAAACTGCCTCGCTGACATATAACCCCCCGCCGCCGGTGTCGGGTACAAGCGACCGATGTAAATCTATTTGTCATATTAATGTGGACAATTAGAGCGAATGCGGGCGCCAACCCTTGCGCGCGAAACCGCCGCGAGGTTCATTACACCGCCCAATTGTACCACACTGCACTGTGATCACGGGTTTAAGAGTAAACAGAAGTACTATTCTTTATTTAAATTAGATTTAATTTTAAACGTTATTTTACTTATTTTTTTCTTAATAGTAGACAAACGCTTATTACCTACAAGTAGATTTCTAAATTAGATTTGGTTTATATACATAAACCATTACGTAGTACCTAGTTTATTAATTTAATACTTCTCTAATATTAAAATCCATATAAATTAACTAAAAACCGCGGGTTACACATTACATGTGAAAATACTGGGAAAGGCTCTACTAGTTTCGAACTACAGAGGGGTTCTTCCTCATGAGCAGCGTGCGCGGTCGCGGCGATGTCGAGTAACCTTCGGTTTTTAGTTAATTTAGTATGTTTCATGATAATGATAGTTATTATAAATCCATATAAATTAATTCATTTTACGTCGTAATAAGTAACTAAAGCATGCTTAATCGGGTTTAATAAAACGAAGTACGAGTTATTTTTTTAATTTTTCTTTAAAATATTCCAAACTTATTTAGGTATCAAAAGACCGACAAGTATGTAACAAAAACAAATTATACCTTCTGCTAATGCAGTTCTCAGTGCCTGCATACACTGATGACGTTTTAATCGCATTTAATTAGATTTGATGACGTTAGTGTTTTAAAAATAATAATAATATAATGAAACGGGAACATAATTACTGCTGTCATTGTTCGGTTAAATTAATTTGATTTTATGGTATTCGGTCGCCAAATTATTGCTAACCTGAGTCATACAATCAAGATTTGCAACATTAGTGCTGTGGGCAATCTTGTTTTTTTACATAACATAAAGTAACATCACGCCTTTTATCCCCAAAGGGGTAGGCAGAGGTGAACATTATGCCACTGTACAATGTAACAATTGAATTGAATGTGTAAAAGTACCTTTTATAAATATAACTGCCTCGTTGGACGATTGGTTGCAAGTGCGACTGCCGGGCAAGGGATTTCGAGTTCGATTCCCGGGTCGGGCAAAGTATTACTGAGTTTGTAAAAATTCTCAGTAGTAGCACGGACTCTGGAACTGTGCCCAGATTATGGCAATAAGCTCACCTCCTATTACATGGGACTTGTAACATACATTGATAAAAGGCGTGATGTTATGTTATGTATAATTATAAAAAATTGAAAACTTAACATTCATAATTTACAGTCTGTTTACTTATCATCATACCCACAACATGTCGAATGTTGAACTTCTCAATGACTTCTAGAGCGGGCGGTTGAATCGTCCACTAGCTAGACCTTCGACTTTTATCTCTAAAACCTAATCTCTAATTTACTAACGTCTAATCTCAATCGTGAGAGACATGTTATAATAAATTAAGCAATAAAGACTAATTTAATCAAATTTCAATTAATATGAGTAATATATTCAGGTACGCATCAATTTCACTAGAATTCCCGTTGATATAATTGAATACAAGTAAGAGCTCAATTGATTCGGCGTCGCTCGGCGTTGATACAATTATTATGATAATTCATCGCGCGTGTGAAACTGTTGTGTAATTGAACGGGCTTCGGTGGCTGGAACGAAGAAATTTTAGATGCGGTACTTTTGTACCCGACGCTGGAGTTGTAAGGGTTAAGTTGTCAAGTATTTTTAGAATTTCATTTTTTAGAGTGTTTTGGCTAAGATAGTATTTGTTGTAAGGCTTTTTACAAAACGAAATTAAAAAATGAAACACTTCCACTTGAATTAAATTAGATACGGTAACTTTTGGATACGATACGATATTAAATTGCAATATTCGTTACAAATGTACGGTAAAATAGAATTATATTTTAATTGGTTATATCAAGATAATTAGTTACACCCTTTCGTTCTAGAATTAATTAGGAAAACAAGCAAAGATCAGGAAAAATACACAAGTCGACAAAAAAACCAAACGAAAATAGAATCTCATTCAAATTCACGACTTTCATCGCACATCCATGACGCAGTGCCGCCACAAAACAATTGGTCGTATGCGCACGCGCCGACCGCCATTCGTTCGATATTCAAACAATAGCCGTTACAGTGATAGCAGACGTATTGTTATTGGGGTTACAATTACAAAGGTCACTGACACCGGCTTTAAAGAATACGTAAATTAGGTAGGAAAGGATGCAATTGATATAATGTAGTAGGTTTTGTGAGCTATACTGAGGTTTGTATTTGATCTTTGAATTGCAGGAAGTAGGTATTAGTCAACAAACGTCGGCCCATCAAATATATAAAAAAAAAAGACATTAGACATATTCTGGAACAGATTGAAATGCCAAAAAGTATGAATATGAATTATCTAATATATAAAATTCTCGTGTCACAGTTTTCGTTGCCATACTCCTCCGAAACGGCTTGACTGATTTTGATGAAATTTTTTGTGCTTATCCGGTATCTATGAGAATCGGCCAACATCTATTTTTCATCCCCCTAAATATTAGGGGTAGTTCACCCATAATTTTTTTTTTATTGTTTATACAAAATTTTTAATTTCTATTTTTTCATGATACAACATACAAAAATACATATTATAATCCTCAATTTTCACCCTTCTACGAAATTATTTATATGGCAAAATAACGTTTGCCGGGTCAGCTAGTAATACTTATAATTTTTCACATGAAGAGGTTTTTAACTTAAATATTATTATGATGTAGAATTGTGGATTGCACATGTTCTGTGGATTGCACAATACTTTAAAAAAGAAAGTAATTTTTTTCCAGAAACTGGTCTATGACGTTGTAAATGTTTATTATATGTAGTTATATATATATACATATTTAATTATAGTTTATATTTCAATGT